AATTTGGGATATGAAGCTCATTGACCAATATCGTTAGGGTCCTTATTTCGCTACTGTCGGTATCAGTTTAGGGTAACTTTTTACTCCTGACTGCACAGAGGTCAATTTAGCTGACGTCACTCGACTTCCTTGGTTTCAAAGTTGATTACATAGGTTTCATTTTCTTAGATTAGTTTTCGTATGAGTCCCTTGCTGAGCAGACAAAAGTGCATAATTAGGAACTTTTAGATTTGCACGTCGACATAGTGGACTGCTACGTTGCACGTCCTTTTAAGGCACTGTGATATCCTTTTAAGGCAGTGGAAGTGCCTTAAAGGGACGTCACACAAAGCAGTCCACTATGTCGACGTGCAAATCTAAAAGTGCATAAATGAGCTGTCACTGAGCTGTGTGAGACTGGATCGTTAACTGGTGTAGACCCAGCGTTTAGTTTACTCGCATGCACAACCGGCAGTCTTCCTACCGATCTTCGCGATAGGCTACATAGCCCTTTGAAGATTAATACAAGAAGGAGAAGAAGAAGCAGGAGAAGAACTGTGAGCAGTTGCCCATAATACAAACAAAAATAGAAAAACAAGTAGGTGTGACATGGACTATTATTTGTATCTTACTACTGTTATAATCATGGTATTTGCAGTCATCCTCAACATCGCGCTAAACTATTCAAAACCTTCATCCATACCTCTAAAACGTGCTACTCATTTGATAGTACACGCATACTAAGTCATGTGTGCATTATATACTCACAGGTATACTTACACTTGCATAAAGAATGTTTACTTGTATAATTATGATTCTATTAAGTGTATTTGTTATTAAGTAAACAATACTGTTTCATGTTTGTTTATTCCCACTCAATCTGCAGCCTCTGTGTTCGACGGTGTCGGGAGAAAAGTGCCCAACCGGTGGTACATTAACCGACCACCATTCCTGACCAAACAACATTGGGAATACACTAACCGGACATGACATCGGCATAATAGATCACCAGTACCATAGAGTATCAAAGTGTGACGTCACACTGACCAAGTTGTCAAGTTTGCTGGTTCTAAACGGTTTCAGTCCTATTCGAGGCACTTGGTAATGAGGATTAAGGCCTTACCAAGAGGAATGATGGTATTGACTGGGTTTCGAACCATGACCTCCCGGTTACGAGACCATTGCTCTACCTCTGATCCATCTCGCCTCCTCAATGGTCGATGTCGCTGTGAACCTCATGCGCAAACTCTGTTATTATGAACCAGTAACCTGGACGACGAGTGAATATGACGTTAGCACTTCGGTACTCTATATAGCAGTGGTGCACGGTGTGTTCATCCATGGGGGGGGGGGGGGCACTAAAGTTGGTCAGGGAGCTTGTCTAGGACCCTTCTTCAAAATGACTCTCAACTTATCTGAATATGCAGCATTGGAAACACACTGTACAGTGCCACTTCATAGTTAGGTATTGTTAATAAAATATCCCCAAGTTTTGAACTACATGTCAATCTATTAGATTCGGATTAAAAGGGCATATTCAGAACATATTAAATCTATTTACTATATGAGTATTTCCTTCCTATGGGCTATATACCGCTTCGAGTAGGCAACGGGTTAAGAGATAGGTATACTTGCTTATCATATTTAAATTCCTTGAAATAGAAAGTTTAATTTCATCCTAAATGTATGTAAGAGAAGTAAACTGTACGACTCTGAAGTTGTGTTTCCATGTACAGTATGTATGTATTCACGAAATTATTCTCTTAATGCATGCATTTATGTATTCATAATTTTTGAATTTATTATTTAAATGAATGGTATTAATGAGTTCTCTTTACTCTTAAATACTATTATCTTTGCTGATGATACGAGTATTTGTTATTCCCTTAAAAGCTTTGAAACGCTCATAACGCAGTCGCATTATGAAAAAATGAAAATTTCTAAGTACTTTAAATTTAATACGTATCATTAAATGTAAAAACAAATGTCATTTATTTTAGAAATACTAACATACATAGTATAATTTAAAAAGCAATCTGTACATTTTTCAGGAGTCACTATTGACTCTCATTTTAATTTTAATGAGTGAATACGTATTAAACATACGTCAATAACAAGGAATATTGGAATACTGTATAGGTTTTTTTATTTTTTTTATTCCGAAAGAGCTATGATTATATTATATAATTCACAGTGTCTTCACATGTGTTATATTGAAATACTGTATTGGGGCGATTGTAATACAAACAATATTGTTTCAATATGTTTGTTTAAAAAAAGAGCAATTCACATGATTACTATCTCAAATTATTAATTACACACGGAACCGTATATTTTATCATTCAAAAACATTACAAATATAACATATTCACATTTTTTGAAAGGCAAGCATTTTTATGTTTAATAAATGCAAAATAAAGGAAAACAAATCAAATCAAGTCAAATAATATATATATATATCTATATATATATATATATATAGAGAGAGAGAGAGAGAGAGCAAACAATTATGTTATCATAAGGCCTAACCATTATATTTTTATTTTACAATAAAGCAATATGTAACTATACTAGTCAACCATTGTATTGTTTCTTGTATATATTTTTATAATGTGAAATTTGCATGCACGCGCTTATGTGAAACTGTAATGTTGTAATGTTTATCATACCATTTTGGTTCATGTGTACTTAAAGGGCGTTGCAGTGATAAGCATGGTGAAAATCTATAAAAAAAAACTTTAAAAGGGCTTGACAAATACTTTAAGAATCATAACTGAACACTTTCCCAAAGGAATGGTGGCTAAAATATTCATTATTCGACAAATGTACAGTCAATTTTCTTCATAAATTAAATTTTGCAAACTGCCAGTGTTTTATTCCCCCAGGTGCTGTGTACCAAAATGAGTGCTTCAATTTCCACTCATAGAGATCAAAATATAAAGCATTCTGATCTCTTTGCACATACTTTTATAGACTCGTCATGCTTCAACAAAATTTCAGAAAAGTTTTCGAGGGCTTGCACATTCGTAATAGTGGCTATGATAAATATTTTTCATAAACTCGTCTTTCAGCGACAAATTTTGAGATACAGTAATATTCATGTTCATGATTCATTTTTCACTGTATAGATTTGTGATTGTTTGTCAATAATCACACATTATTGTTTGTAAATCTGCTGTTATAATGTAAAAATGACGTTGTACGTATGCTGTAACATCCTAAAGTGTCCTTTGCAGTCCCAGCTGAAAGTTAAATGAATAAAATAATTAAAGTAAAGTAATGACACAGTCTCCTTTTGCTTCCATATAACTTTAAACAGTAGTGTTATAGCTTAGACAGCCGTAGCGCTGCTTGTATTCAAGGTACCAGGTAACCATTTACCATGTATCCATTCACTCTCTCATTGATCGTGTAGTGACAAATGTACATCAATGTCTGGAGGGAATCAAACCTCATACCTTGTAATCTACATTCAAGAGACATAGTCACGGGACCATAACACGTGATAAGCCCAGCAGCTGTATGACCCCAATGTAAGGGATGAAAATAAAGGCGATGGAGCAACATTTTAAAGATTCAAGACCGATTTCAAACTTTTATGACCAACGAAGAAGAAGAAGTAGAAGAAAGAAAGAAACCAGCATTTTCATAAATGCAAGCTTCTTTACTTGTCATTTTCGGAACATGACCATAGTTTACTACTGAGGTGAGACATTGACCTGAAATTACATTTCGCAATCGTCTACGCACAGCCAATTTGTGGGGATTCCCATAAATGCCGTCTGAATTAGCTTTTAGAAAAGGAGCAAATATTCAACCTTGAATGAAAAGATCCTTTAAAAACAAAAAATAACAACAACAAGCAATGTGTCTTAATGATTAGCCAGTAGACACTGTCGTGAGAAGAAAAAAAAGCAAGAAGCGGGCGACGGGCTGATCAAGTTACAGCCGGGTAGGAAGAAGTAGTAGAGGCTTGTTTCTACACCTGAAATAGCCACAAAGTAGGATAGATAAGATAGATAGTTTGCACTCCAATTGCATGTAGTACCGCTATACCGTGTGTATCACGGAGGGGGGGGGGGTAAGAGTTAGGGTGAGAGTTAGGGATAGAGTTCGGGTTAGGATTAGGATTGTGGTTAGTTTAGGGTTAAGATTTAGGCTAGGGTCGTGACTATTATTCTTGATCTAATAACTATCATACTCACTTCTAGTTTTATTGATTACTCTAACTTTTTAAAGCCACCCTTATGACAATAACAAAAATAGGAAAACAATCTGTGTCATATTTAAATTCATGTATTTGTAATGTACTGTCTAATGAAACTAGAAATCGTTCCCCACGGAAAAAGCTGTAGTATAAAAATTAAAGGATATCTTTTTTTAGGAATATTATTAATTCACATTTAAATATTAATATATTAAAGGTAAAATACATATATTGTACAATGTAAATCGAATCAGTATAATATATTTTAATTAGATTGTGTAATATGTTTGAGTTATAATTATTTTGTGTAAATATTTCCTAGTCATGAATGAAACTATCAAGAAATTGATTAGTGGAAACCGAAAATGCTTCTTAATGATCCAATCAGTGGCAGATCCAGGGGGGCCCCCTGGGAAAAAAAGAACATGTAAAAACACGATTTTTCAAATTTTCGGGAGCAAAAAGAAAAACATTAGTGCTCACTACCCCCCCCCCCCCCCACACTGAGTGAATTATCGGCTGGCTGTTTCGCCGCTAAATATTTTCTCTCTGATTAGGCCTCCACCCCTGCCGCCGGCTGGATCCGCCCCTGGATCCAATGGTTCTTGTTTATGTTTGATTTATAGAATAGGGCTCACCTTGACTAGTGTTTGCTCTTTGTTGGTACTAAATGAAATGAAAGAATGAATGCACCCACGCGCGTGCTTGTTTAGTGCGAGTCGTTTTGTATCAAAGGGCACGGCCTTTGAGGGGAATCCCCTTTACGTCATTGTGCAATGCGTATGCCATTGTATTCTGGGTGGTGTCGAATACTGCAATTAATTTGCCATTCTATTGACCGCTCAGTGTGGCATCCGATGCCCTGCTCTGCTGCCATATAATTATTTGTACAAAGGAGATCATTTCTGAATGAGTAACAGTTTTCAACGCGTATTTTCATCGGCAAGCCTCAAATTGAGCTCCCAAGATTGAGGCAATGAATTCTACACGTTGCCACGCTGTCTATTCCGGTATACTTGTGACTGCAGCTGTTGTCCTATGGTGTAGTAAGTATTTGTGAATAACGAGTATACATGTACACTGTCGCCCATGATGCTGGAATAATTTTTCCTAACCCCTTTTCATGAAATGTTTGTCACAATATTTTTTAATCTTGATAGGTAGAGTTAATATCTTCTTATTTCTTTATTGATCAATCTCTAGGATTTTTCAGATTGGTCAATAACGTTCTTAAAGTGTAAACTTTATCAAGAACAAAAAAAAATCATATTTTCACAATCATTTCATGAAAAGAAATTAGTAAAAAATATTCCAACTTAATGGGCAGCAGTGTACATGTAGATCTCCTGAGCTGTCGGGATATACTGGTTTATTTAACTGATGATTTTCCATACAACGGTTGAGGGTTCCTCATCTGAATCCGGCATTAAAGTCCTTTGGCAAGACATCAATCGACATTAGACACTTTCCACCATTGTATAAATGGCTAGCGTGCGATTGCTCGGGAAATAATAATTGCAGGGCCGCTGTTCCATAGGGCCACGTACTAATTCAATATACATTGCCGTGAAGCTTATAATGATTACGTCATGAATATAATATAAAAACTAAGATAGGACATGGATTTAGATTGAGTATACATTTCCGAATTGTTAATTTGCGCCTTAAATCGCCTTACTCCGATATTGCTGATATTCATAGAGTATCTATTTTTGGTGAAAACAAGAGTGTTATAAATTTCCTCTATATTTATTTCATTTTGCAGTGCTCTTTCATTTCTGCGGGGAAAATACCAACCCAAGTAAGTAATAAGATATGTTGATAATGGTATTAAATGTGATGTCCATTCGTCGAAAATGTTTATCCGTAGAACACATTAATTAATACATAGCAGTGTATTTATAGACATGAAGGTTTATTGGAACCCACTTTTTACATATTATACCGGTTGTGGCTTAGATATATTTCTAACATTGATAGTAGTGAACGGTTGTACTAAATAACTGTCCTGTGTGTTTATGTGTCTGTGTTCGTGTGCGCGCGCACGTTTGGGTGTAGAATTGTAGATGTGTATATATGTGTTTAGAAAGTAACATGTAGCCTTCCTGCGTGATCGGTATTTGTGTGTTTGTTGGGGGGGGGGGGCAGGGCTGTTGGGAGTTCATGCGTGTGAGTGTATATTGGTGTGTACACGTATGTGAGTGTGTTGTGTACGAATGAGAATGAGTTAGTTTCAGATTTTATTGGTCGGGGGTTGGGTAGTGAAGGAAAGGATTATCATTTGTCTAATATTATGACTAATTTTATTCCTTTTTTTAAATCGTAATTTATAAATTGTACATGTTTTAACTTAATTGAATTATGTTAATATTATGATGAAAAGGAATTGTTTTTTGAAAAATTTGTTCTATTGTTTCGATAAAGAATTAAATCCAAATATAAAGTGTTTTATAAATGTATATATTGGAAGTAAATGATATGGTAGGGTAGGAAATTGTTAAGGTTGTGTACGTGTATGTAATGGTGGGGGTGTTGTGAATCTGCAATATTTTTTAAATAGAAATTCAGAGGTTTTTTGTTTCAATTTGTTTGAGTTTGAGTTGTATTGGTTTCAGATTGCACATGCAGATTCAATACAGATAATAATGTATACATTAAAGACATATTGTCTCATTGAAAAAATGATTATATTAATTGACAAATTAATCAGACTACAAGTTCTGATTAAATCCCCTTTCGTCCAGCAACTGACTTCAACTATTCTTATTTTCCAGTCCTATGTACTTTCCAACATATAAAAATGCATACGAGATGAATCTGTATAAAAGAAAATTACTGAATATCCAATTAACTCATTCGTATTCTCAAACAGCACAATAAACTGCATTGAAAATAGACTTAAGCATTGTCTGTATTTATAGTTCTTTGTGGAATAATGTTTAAATCTTTGTATTCTTGATCAAAGGAAAGTATAACAAAGGCTCAAATTTGGGACCCTGAACAATGGATGTAAAGATTTTTTGTTATTGTGCTGCTGTTTTACATCCATAGAGCTAAATTTTCTAAAGCACACGAATTTCTTAATATCATATTTTGCCTTGTCGGTATATAAACGTATCTTGATGCTACTACATTATTGTATACAAATCAGGGTGCCTTTAAGATAGCTATATCTTTTTTCTTGTAAATTACTATTTTTCCCCAAAAATAAGTGTAGATGTGGTATATTCTTCATCAACCAGGCGTACGTACAATGCACATGGTTCAGCGATTACTTCACATTGTGTCCGAACTTTAATTTTAAAGATAAAATATTTATTTGACGATAACCACAAAAAGATACAAACAGTAATACAAAATAGAGTATGGAATATAAAAGGGACCAAAAGAAAAGCGAATGGATGTGTTGAATGGCCCTGAAAGAGAGAGAATTTTTGATTTTATACTAAGCATATTCATAGTCAAATTAATCAATTATAGAAACTAAATTACACAAACAAACAATAGGTGCGCACCCCTCCCCCCACACACACACACAAGTCCTAAGTAGCTGTAACATGTTATAAATTATTCAATGAATTACCACGACAGAGCTTTATAAACCTAGATCAGGGCCTAGACAGCGTTGACCAATGCATGTCGTTCTGCTTTGTGATTGTTTAGCTCGGAAAGAACACCGCTTTTTTATATTAAATCCGTTCTAGAAGTTCTAAGCTTCACTTGTTTTGATATGTTACCGTCATTTAGGAACGGAATGCATACGTCTTTGTTAGAGAGCCTCGTTAGAAATTATTTCCCGTGGGGGGGGGGGTAAGGTCGCTTCATTTTAGGTCAGTCATTGGCATTTTTTTTTTTTTTTTAATAAAAAAATAAAAAAAATAAAATAAAAAATAAATAAAAAATCTATAAATCTATACACATAACATAAATATTAACAAAAATCAAGGGGGGGCTTAACCCCCCCCCCCCTGCGTACGTGCCTGACTACCACTGCAAATCATATTATTACTATTACTACTTGTACTGATAGTACGACGAATACTACTCTTACTATTACTGCGACAACTGTAACTCCTACTCCATTCACCACTATTACTTCGAAAAATACTACTACTTCTACTAATTCTTATGTATAGATCATTTAGCCTTGCCAACTCTTCTCAGTCAGCCTGGATTATGGTTCGTCAGCACATCGTGCATCTGGGTGGAATGGTGGTGCGATTGCAAAGGGGATGGACCCGGGAAGGAGGATGAAAAGAATGCAGATTTACCACAGTCAACAAATGATTACGGTTAGTTCATTATCCTTGCATATAGACCAGTTTGTAAATAGTATGATGAAGAGGCCTACTTCTGTGCGCCTGGCATATTTTTATGTTGTATTCCTCGAAAGCTTGATCTCATCTTATAATTTGGTTTTCCAACGATAGGCCTTCGGCCTCTGCAAATTCAATTGTATTTAAATTGTGTTTGTATGTTATACATGTACTTGTTATTTTCTAGTTTATGTACATCACTTGATATATATAAATATATATGTATTCAGTGCGTCCCATAAAAAAAGACGAAACCGAGAATTATCGATGTTTTATCATAGATTAATCACAAAGATAATTAATAAATGACACATATTTGTAAAGCTGAGATCCTCTTCATTCATTTAGAGTTGACTTAACTCCGTTTCGTTGACGATCAGTCAGAGAAGACGAAAGACTTGATGCATGGCTAATAGTCAACGAAACGGTGTTAAGTCTTTTGTCAACTCTGTTTCTTGCTACGGCAGGCAGCCAGTGAAGACGAATACGTACGTTGAATCAAATAATGAAAATGCAAGCATCACTTTAAACAAACAGAACTTTGTTATTCTTGGCTCATTTTTCCTGAACTGACGTACCATATGATAGGGCAGAAAATGAACTTTCTAGAAATGTGATTTTCCCTTTGAAAATCAGATACTGCATTATCAAATGACGTTTTGGTTTCCTCTCTTCAAGCTTTTGTTTAATCACTCATGTGTGAGAAATGCATCATATGAGTTGCAATAAATGAAAGAAGAGGATTTCAGCTTTAAAAATATTTGTCATGTATTAATTATTATTGTGATTAAGTTATGATAAAACATCGATAATTTATGGTTTCGTTTTTTTCTGGGACGCTCCGTATATTATTGCATACAGAAAATGAACAATAAGTACCTCCGTTCACTTTCAATTTTATGTAAACTCTACCATCAGTTCTACCTCGCTTGACCCAACCGCCTAAAGCAATAGCCATTGGAACGTCGTACGCGATTGTCCAGTGGCAAAAACAGCATACCGGCAATGGGCCCATATGTGCCTACGCAGTTGACAGGCAATTGATCGGCAAAGATGTCCCATCATGGTCGACGGTTGGTTTTGTGTCTGAGCAATCGGGATCCCAGTCCGGAGAAGAGCTTACATTCAACATAACTGGCCTGAAACCCGAGATGGGATACCGTGTATCAGTGAGACCTGTCCTTTGCGACGGGGCACGGGCATTTGAAGTTGGCGAGGGACCGTTACTTTTTCTAAAAACGCACTCCATTGGTAAGTCTTTAAACTATTTGTAGATTTTGTTAGAGTCCATCGTCGCACATCGGATGTGTGGGCATGTGACTTATTAAGTCCAACGTTGTATATCGATTCCTTTAATATAATGTTACTAATATTTACATTTATTATTATCATTATAATTATTCTTATAATTAGTTGAAGTAGTAGTAATAGTATCATCTTCTCGTTAACGTGCCTCATTAATAGTAAGTAACTATACAAGCAGATTTCTATCGGAGCAACAAATTATATAGCAGATAAACAATACTGAGCTGAGCAATCGAAACCGGGCTGACCAGATTAAACGTATACAAAAAGCAGAAATACGAAGTTGTAAACCATTTACAGATTTCCAATAAATTGCGATGATGGTTAATTAATTATATCATTCCAATTTTTTATTGTCGGTTTCCTTTGCGCATTAAACTGAATTTTCTTATGAAACTGAAGATATGGCGTATATATTCAACATTGAATGAACGCCATTAAACTATTACCAACAACAATACTAAACAACACTAAGGCGTGTCAAAATCCCAATTTTACCAAGCTGTTTTTTATCAAAAATTTCGATAGTTCTGCCAACCTTAATGGAAGCTCCTCTAATAACCAACCTGTCCTCTAATAACGTGGCTATCCGGTGGACCAATCATTATCAAGGAGACGGGCCAATCTGTGGTTACGGAATCAACATCAAGAAAAACGACGACAAAGATCGTGGTGATGTTGAGAGCAGTGATCCCTGGCGCAGCGTCGGGTACGTGTCGGTGGAGAGTGGGCTACTGTATGATGTTGGTCATCTAGAGGCGAATACCACGTACCAAGTCGTGGTTTCTCCAATCAATTGCATATCTACTCGAGAAAGTCCACGGGAACCAATATTGCAGTGCACCACCAAAACTGTGGCTCTTCCTGTAGTCGGTACGTTCAGCGTCTAAAACATATCACAGCACATAAATGTTAAAAACATGATTGCAATTACCTTCGAAAAAATAATAATGCAATTTCAGTAGCCCTGCGTGTCACCTTTTTAAATGTACAAACACTACAGTGGTGCATTACGTAATTCAAACATGATTCCCATTATATATTCAATAGATTTGACAATTTACAAATAAAAATTTACAGTCGCATCAATATATGGGCCAAATACAGATATTCCAACATTTGTTGCTGATATTCAACAAATAAAAAACCCGCATACCATTTTGCGGGCTTGGAATTTAGTACAAAATTTAATTATTGATACATGTAATTACCTCCATGTTAACAACCTCTGAACGAGACAACAGTTTAATGAAATGAAGAATGCTTTCATTATTCATGTGATCCACGGAAAATTAAATTTCTAGCTAAAAGATCGTACACGTGGCATCAACCATACCCCTTTAAATAAATTAGGTTAGACTTCTTTTTGATACCTTAAGAGCTTCTTTCTTTAGTTCACAAAATGTATATTTCGCCGGGTGATTCCTTAATTACTCTTAGTCCGAGTTTATTGTTTGGCTTGAATGGGTGTCATACCAACGCTTTTAATTGTATCTTAATTTAATATTGAAAGTAACAAAATCTATTCAGCCTAATTCGAAAACCAGATACCACTGTTTGAAAAAGGTATGTCAGCTCTTAAAGTAATTATAATATTGAAAGATATATAGCAAACATTAATCTTAAAGAAAATAATTTTGTGAAAAAATGGTTTCATTTTACCAAATGTTTTTAAGTCTCTACGTTCCGCCTTTGAAAGGGTAAATACAAAAATATATACCATCTTCTTCATCTGTTGTCCTCTCTCTCACTCTCTCTCTCTCTCTCTCTCTTTCTCTTTTTCTCTTTCTCCCTTAATAACAGCCGTGCCACGTCTCTTGACACTACCTCAAGTAAAGGACGTCACTACAGCAACGATTAAGATAGAATGGAAAGGGGATTACGACGGCGACGGGCCCATATGCGGTTTCGTCGTCGAGATTAGACCTCCGGCTTCAACGTCGTGGACGAGTGTCGGATTCGTATCCTTCGATGAGGACGAGGACGTTTTCGATTACACGATTGAGAGACTCAATTCTAACACCCTCTACGGGATAAGTGTTATAATTCTGCATTGCTCCGGCAGAGAAGGAGAAAGGGGTTTTGAGTTTTACCAGTCAACAAAGGGCCGTGGTGAGTTTGTGAAGTCTGTGAATATTGATGTGCATCCCCTCTTTCTGTCCTCTTCTTTTTTCTGTCTTTTCCCCCTTTTACCAATATTTTGTTCCTCCATATTTGTATTATTATGTATCCTTTGAGGGTAGTCATACTATCAAGCTTTGCTTATTTTGTCAACCCTCCTGTTTGATGTTCTCGATTAGTTACACCCAGCCTTACTTTATTCTACATATATTCTTTTGTCATGTGTAAATTTGCAATATTTGTTTGTTATATATTTGTAAAAATGCAAAAGAAAAAGAAAATCAAACAGAAATAAATAAATCAAATCAAATCAAATCAAATCAAATCACTGTCTAAACTAACCATGAAATCATATTATTAACTTGAGGGGCTTGCGTTGATTTTTTTTTTCCACATCAGTCAAAGGCCACGTTAACATATGACGCGGCAAAACCACGGCATTTTTTATGACGTAATGCCTAGATCACATTTGCTCTACGGCTAGGATAGGGCGGATGTAGGCCCTCGAAATAGAAAGATACATGCGGCGACCGCAGAGAATCTGCGTAAGCCTCAGGGTCACCCTAGTGCGTATCCCTATCATTATAGTCCGTACGAGTCGCCGTGGAATTATAGCGCGGACGTATAACTTGTTTTCATTTCTAATAGTCCGGCAGCCATCTCGATATACCTTGTTTTAGGGTCTATAGTTTTTTTTTCTTCGGATTATAGTTCCTTAGACCATCAATTTGAAGAATTCGATTGCTGACACTCTGTCAGCATTGAGCAATTTGAGATATGTGACGTCATACAAAATGGCCGCCAAAATCCCCTTTTTAACCAAAATTAATGATATAAAAAGTTTTAACAGCATTTTACTACATTAAATTGCAGTGACATATCTTGATTTTTTTCTAGAATCATCACTAAATAAAAATTGCGATACTGTATGATCACAAATGATATGCAAATTTGCATAATTCGGAATGGCGCCCTCTATAGACACATTAACTTGCATAGTTCAAAATGATCATGGCCAAATACCAATTTCTAACATGAGATTATCATATGTCATGAGTCAGATGCACTGGATACAGTGAGTAAAAATTCTGCTGCACATTTTTTTTATTTCGTAATTTAATACTCAAAGAAAACACGGTTGAATTTTAGGCTCTCTGTCCCATAGATATGAGGTGGCATAAGGTGATAAATGCCCATTTTCAGTGACAGCGTTAAGAAACTAGATTTGTTTTCTAAGGTACTAGATTCTTTTAAATTAACCTAAAAATTACAAACTACCAATACGATACAGGACTATATCCGTTTATAAGTTTGCTTCAAAATCTTGAAATTTGTTTAAAAACCCTCTAAAGTGTTGGGAACCCTAAAATATTCCATGCAGAAGAGGATGTCATTTAACACTTAATTCTGCACAGTCAGGTCGTGACTGTTATGCGTGCTTCCACACGCATGTTTGCAAATGAGCTCTCTTAACATTTTCTACAAACGCTTCAGTAGTTTGAGGTAGTGAGGCAAGGTTTGGGGGTATCTGGAGCTCCTAGTCTTCGGACCCTTGATAGCCACACGTTGATACGAGCCTCTGACATTCAGTTGATTGTTGACTGTCCATAACATGAAGCAAAGCATTGAGTAGGTTGAGTGATGACATATGACCATGCTGCATCAACATTGCCAACTGAGTCCTAAGGGAGTCGAATCTTCTGCTTCATCACTTCAGCATTGTACCCTATCCAATGCCAAAGTATGCCCCAAGAGTGTCGCATCCCGTCAACGCATGTCCTGCCAACATCGATGGAATGATATCTCCTAACTTGTCTACATTGGCAGGAACATCAGTAACAGTTCGATTTGTGAAGGGGCGTCTCCATGGTCATTGGCGTTTTATAAGTCCGTCATGTAGATAATGATGCAAAAGTAGTACGTAGACGTCTGTGTCATCCACTAAGACCCTAACATACATCTTCTCATTAGCATCAATTCAAATCGCTTGCTGTACTTTGATGTTGCCTGCTTCATCATAACTATGTTGTGGACAGACCTTTCCTTGGCATGACATCACTGTCTGGAATCACTTGAACAGGAACCTCATCTTGACGGTAAAGGCCTGCTTGTGCTTTTGTCTATTTCTGAGCACCCAATCATCCTGCAGACTCGCGCATATAATTATGATGTCGATCAACTGTCGTTTGTTGTCATGAAAAGATAGTGAGGTTAGCAACACTAGAGACACGTTTCAACAACTTCTCTCCCTGGTCAAGTTTCTGTTGGTGGACGAACGATCACCAACCTAAGATACGCCGACAATACAACACTCTCTGGCGTATTGATGGGGAAGGGTTAGGGGGGGGGGGGGGACAGTTGACCCCCAAACAGAATTCAAACTGTTTTGTCTACATATTCGATACCAGTGATTTACAAATGTTGCTGAAATGACATGATTTTCCTGGGTTTTTTCTCACTTTTTAGTAAATTATTATTTGTTAAGCGTATGTTGAAAAATGACAAATCCTAAATTCACAGTCAAGCAAAAAATATGCTTATTTAAAAGCCTACATGTCAGGGTCCGCAGAACAGCGGGGCTCAGGGGACTCAAGCCCCCCTCACTTTTTGTATAAAGTATGTTAAAGAGAACTAGAAAGAAAGAAAGTGACCCGAGGTGAAATGAGGTATCAAAATATGTTCATCTTACAGTTAATAAATACCTGAAACTCTTAAGCTTCCGGGGGCTGTGCCCCTTGAACACCATGCCAATTTGCGCTCCTCTCTTCCTGATCATAAATACTTCACCCCCCCCCCACCCCCGCTTTAAAAAAAGATCCGCGGGGCCTGCATGTAACATGTATGAGTGGTGGTGATGCAGATTGTTTTTCAGCCCCTCTAAGTGTTTTTGCTCAGTATGCCACTGACAACACTTATAACAAGAACATCAGAAGAACTACTAGAACTCCTTAAAAAAGAGTGAAGGATGCAAGTGAATAATTTGGACCCTACCTCAATGTGAAAAAGACCAAGATCATGATTGGTGGAAATTAACTACATGCAACAGAGCATGGTGGTTTATGAAGAAGAAGTTGATCAAGTGGACAAGTTTATATAATGTTCCTGGGTCAATGATTGTCAAGGAGGGTGGAAGCTCGGCAAATATCTGCCTTTGAAATGTGGTGTTAGATCGAAGCTACTTGGGATATCATGAAGAGATTACAACACCAATGGACACAATTAATGTCCATCATCGGAGATCAATCGCCACTTGCGACCAGGATTGACAAGTACAAGCTACAATAGTTTGGTCAAGTTAGCAGAAGATCATGAGACAACCTTGACAAATTATCATTCAAGGTACCTTTGAAGGAACACGTAACAAAGGAAGACTCAAGCTCAGATGGACTGACGACCTTAGGGAAATCACTAGCCACCCTCTAAATACTAAAGACACTCTACCAGATTGCAGGAGACAGATGCCGATCAAAAGGTCTCATCAAACGGGTCACAAGGGTGAGCCATGATCTATATGACAACGACGACGACGACGAACAGTAAGATATTTCTTGGAGGGCAGCAGTGACGCGGGACTCAGTTGGAAGACTCTCGACCCGTTATGACCTCTAGATACTGTCGGATCTGTCAAACACCAAGCAAACATCATCAGATTTTCATCCACAGCAGAGCACAACCATCAATAACTGTACATGGTTGTTCCAGTGTCTCATGCCTGGCTGACATCTCAACTTTTGTCAAATTCTATAAGTCCGTCTTTGACATGGGAGTGCTCGTTTCCAGAATCATCAAAAAGTGCTGTTGGGACTGGTGAAAGCTCTTATGACAAAATGTCCTTGACATTGACCTCTCTTGAACTTGTCTGCAGTCATATCACTCTGGAGTAGATTAACTTTTCATAGACTTTCGTACCCCCAACATTGACTTCTTCATGGCTGCCACGGTTTGAACTTTCTTGGAAATTGTGTCATAGAATCCACCAGGTAATTTCTTTTGAAAATCATGCATCTGTCTAGTATAGATGTCAACTGCTTTATCCACATTTACTGACGTTGGAGCAATGCTGGTCTAAATAAAGCCTATCAATTGAATAATGATGTGTGCCGTAAAACCACTTCTCACCGATTTGATCAAAAATGAATTCTTTCATAGTCATTTTTTTTTCTTGACATATGTAGGGTAGGTTTAGGGAATTGGAGACCACCAAGCTTGAACCCATCACTGTCTGTCCGTGTTGGCTCCAATATTGGTATAGCGACATATGTGGTCTTCAACAACACTACTGCATATATCCAATTCATTTCGAAGACTTCTATGCGTTCTCTCAACGAGAAAATTGGCAAAATTGACCAAGATAAGCAATTTTGATCGTAAAATGTTGTTCTGATATAAAAACACAATTTTCACTGAATGCTGTGGTGTATGCAGATATTTAGGGGTGGCTCCTAAAAATCAGTTTGAAAACGAAGTTTATGAAATGTGCCAACCATGAATGGTGTCTGATCAGAAATGTGTGTAGGTAATGGGGGACACCAGGTCCAAGATGGGGGCCTACTTCTCCCCAGTTGTCCATTTCATGTTGAAAGGCACTATCATGAAACATATTTGGTTGTACGTGACACCATTCTAATTTGAATGCATTTAATTTTAAGAAGTTGTTTCTATGCTGGGAGTTTGATCGATGTAAAAGTCATATTGCCAGAACATTATTCTGAAAGTATTTTAACATAATTGAGAGCACCTTTATTACTGTAAACAAAAAACTACAGAAATATTTTGTGCCACATTGTTTTAAAACCGTTTCAACATTACAGTAAGTTCATTGTCTGCATGTATCTCTTTCAAAAAGTGTTTGAACTATAACAATCCCATTTTCATTCAAATTGTATTTAAAATGCCTTGATTTGTAACTGTCCCTTATTACCTACACATGTAGGTAATGAGAGACCTTTGGCGATGACGTCATTAATCATTGTTATCTTATTAATCAGCTACATCATGACCACAATTTCGTTACCAAATACAGAGAAAAAATACTAAAGTGAATACAATGTCTGTATGTGTAACATTGTTCATGTTTATGTAAATTATGCAAATGTGCTTAAGGGTCTTCCATTCCCCACACCTACCCTATCTAAATTTGTACCAAACACGATGAAAGATTAATGCAGCACAACTGCAATTGTTGCCCCAAAAAACATTAAATATGTTTTCAACGTGACATAGATTTAAGAAATTGGCATTTGGCTGGCACACATATTTTATTCAAATTAATATGTTTATAGAGGGCGCTATTTCAAAATATGCAAATAAGCTGGTCATCTTTGGCCATGCAACATCACGAAACATTTTTTTAGTGATGGTCCAAGAGAGATACAGACATTTGGCTGCCAAAAATTGTAGAAAAAATCCTTATTATATATTTATTATTCATTTTTAAAGGAAAATCATGTACTTTGGCGGCCATTTTGTATGACGTCATATATCTTAAATTGCTCAAGGCTGACAGAGTGTCAGCAATCGGATTCTTGAAATAGAAGGTCTAGGCAATCAAAATCCATTGAAAAAAAAACTATAGACCCTAAAACAAGGTTAGGCCAATAATCTGGATTTGGCTGCCGGACTATAAGTTCGCTGTAGCAATTAGACAATAAGACACACCGTTGCGATGCCGAAGAGCGGTTCTACGGCGACCAATCGTCGGGCGTAAGGTGGCTGTTCAAGTAACTTGTGTCTGCCATGGTATTCGTATAAAAAAATATACGCTGCTGCAGGCACGCCCTAAAGTGATCGTGCGTCTTCACTTCAGGCCGTATATAGGCCGCAGTTTTTCTGTCTCCACAAATTCAAAATACGCCGTGCGGCTACTCTAACATAATGTGACTGCTACCCTATGTGACCGTGCGGACGTTGCGGACGATGTCGCTTCACATTTCTCTCTCTCTCTCTCTCTATAGTAAACGGCGCTAAGTACCTTTTTTTGCTGCTCATTTAAACGAAGAAAGTCGTGCGAAGGTTTTTTTTCTTCGATGGTTCACCGTGTCACATCTGAACGAGCCTTTATGATAAACTACAAGGCATTTAATAACGTTTTGATAGGAATCTTTCAAGTCCGGGTATGTGTTTTGGGGCCCGTATTCTCGAAACCTTACTGAGGTAAGTTGTCATCTAATGTTATAGCCTGTGTAATTAGTTGACAATTAGCCTAGTGGGATTTTATGAATATGGGCCCTGGGCCTTGAACGCACGCAGGTTTTCTAGCAATTGCACATTTCAAATAACGATGCTGATTAGTTTATAGTCAGTCGAGTAGTCAATATGTGCATGCAAAGATGATCTTGATTGGCCATTACAATTTTGTCTTCCTTTTACCGAAACACATCCACAGAACCACAGACAAAGCCACCATCTATATCGACATCAACAGCGCCACCATGCCCGGCGCAGAAGTGGAGAGAATGTCCTCAGAACCCGCCCAAAGATGAATATCCCTGGAAAATGATGTTCTTCATTGCTCTAATCATCATTTTCTTGATATTAGTTGTCATAATCGGGTAAGTTTACGATCTATTTTGTAAACCGCGTCAGTCAAATAAAATATACACACTTTTAAATCTGTCTGTACAGTAATTTTAGTAATGAATTTTGTATATGAAAATACGCCCTCGTAATGCTGTACATAGATCAATTTAGCTGACGAGGTCAAACTCGTTAACGCCAACTCCAAATCTTTCTTTCATTTATACACAGGCTTCATAATCTTAGATTTGATATTATATGAGTAATGGACTCTGCCCCCCCCCAAAGAAAAATGAATAGCTGCCCGTAAATAAATAAGAGTGAAAGAAACAGGAATGACCTTTACTATCAATATTACTTGACTACTGTCATAATCATGTAATTTGCGGTCATCCTCAACACCACATTATACTATTTTGAACCTTCATCCATACATTTAAAACGCGTTACTCATTTAATAGTTTAATCACATGAGTGTTTTATTTAATCACAAGTAACGTACACTTGCTTAAAGAATGTTTACTTGTATCAATATGATTCTATGTAGAGTTCTTTTATCAAGTAAATATAATTTTGTAAAAATGCTTTTGAAGTGATCAATCAATGAAATTATCTTGTTTAATTTTTTTTGTATTCCTACTCAATCTGCAGCATCTGTTGTACCTAGTTTCTGGGGGAAGGGTCCGGAACCAGTTTAACATTAGACGACTTCTACTCCTAAGCTACCAGCAGTGGGAACAAACTGGATATGACATCGTCACAATAGATCACCACTAACAGGATACCAAAGTTTGACGTCATACTGACTATTACAGTTGTCAGGTTTGCTGGAAACATACTAATTTTTTTTTTGTTATAACTGAATTCGCCCTGATCCCTATCGCCCCATAATAGCCGATGATATCGATGATTGTTTTACCTGACTGAAAGGAAAGTATGTAGATTCGTATAAGTGAATAACCCAGTGACTGACGGATTTGAGTCCTCTCCGAAGAACTTGGTAATAAGGATAAATATCTTACTAAGGGGCACGAGGGTATTGACTTGTCTTCGAACCCAGGACCTTCCGGTCACGAGACCACTGCTCTACCTCTGACCCATCTCGCCTCATCAATGATCGATGTCGCTGTGAACCTCATGCGCAAGCTATGTTATTAGAACCAGGAACCTGGACGACGAGCGAATATGACGTAAGCACTTTGGTAGTCTACCGTGTGAGTCAAAAAAAAGTTTACACCTAGAAAATTGCTGATTATTTTTTAAATCATTTTTGAGCAGTAAATTATTATACATCTTATGAAAGAGTGTTTTATCCAAAATCATTTGGTATCATTTTTGTGTGGTATGTGTTCGCGCTTGAATGAACAGAAGGCATTGTTTGCGAGAGTGCAAAAATCGACTTGCGCCAAAGTGATGCCTACTGTATGTATTATGTTGGGATGAGCGGAGTGAGGGAATGAATTGAATGTATCAAATGAAATGCATTGCATATGCTTTTTTGCAGAAGCAAAGTCACACACACACACACACACAAGCTCGCACAAATGTTCGTTGATATTTGATATTAGATATTTGATATGTGTGGCATGATTTATTTTGTTAGGGATGTTATTTGGATCTGCAAAGACCGAATTAAAACCCAAATCCCAATTGTTTTATTCAAAGATCACATAAGCAACTTTGGTGCGAGTCGATTTTTGCACTCTCGCAAACAATGCCTCCTGTTTATCCAAGCATGAACACATACCACACAAAAATGAAACCAATACCAGATGTATAACAATTTACTGTTCATAGAACATTTTTAAAATAATTAGCATTTTTCTAGGTGTAAACTTTTTGTTGACTCACTCTGTATATAGCAGTGGTGCAAGGTTTGTTCATCCATGGGGGAAGGGAGATGGGGGCTACAAAAGAAGGTGAGGGAGCTGGCCATGCAAGGCCCCCTTCTTCAACATGACTCTCAACTTAGCTGAATATAGAGCATTGGAAATACACTGTAAAGTGCCACTTCATAGCTAGGTATATTTAATAAAATATCCCAACGTTTTAAACTACATGTCAATCTATTCTATTTGGATTATAGGGGCATATTCAGAACATATTTTATCTATTAACTATTGGATTATTTCCTTTATATGGGCTTTAATACAGGGGCCATCCTGTTTGAGTAGGTGATGGTTTAAGAGATATTTAAACTGTGGTATACTTGCTTATCATATGAAATTCCTGGAAATAGAAAGTTTAATTTTATTCTAAATGTATGTAACAGAAGTAAACTGTACGACTCTGGAATTGTTTTTCCATGTACAGTATGTATGTATATACGAAATTATTCTCTTAATGCATGCGTTTATGTATTCATAATTATTGTATTTTTATCTATATAAATGGTATTAATAAATCCTCTTTACTCGAAAATGTTATTATCTTGTTGATAAAAAGAGTATTTGCCATTGCCATACAAACTTTGAAAAGCTCAAAAGGCAGTTATGACTTATGACTTGTGACTTATTGACAATTTCTATTAAGTTTATCACTAAATGTGAATAAAACAATTTTTTTAAAGAATAATGTACACGATATAATTGAAATTGACGGCTTGCCTCTCATTGAAAAACAATCTGTTCATGTTTTAGGAGTCACTATTGACTCTTATCACAGTTTATTGAGCATATACGGAATATGCCTCCGTCAATATCAAGGAATATTGGAATACTGTATAAGTTTTTGTTATCACATGTGTTACATTGTAGTATGTTAGGGGCAATTGTAGTATCTTCAGAAGAGAGAGGTTCGCAGGATTAGTAACTCAGCTTATTTATCATACACTAAACCAATAAATATTCATGGTTTAAAAACATTACAAATACAAGATATACACCTCTGTATGTACATTGTTGGTCATGTAGGTAGTCCTCTAGTTGATTAGCATAGTAGCATACCCATGCTTTAGCAGTCAAGGGAAACAAACACTCATGAATTAGTATTCAATAAAATTTGAGAATGTATACTATTATCCTGATCTATTAGGAATACATTATTGTCAAAACCATTCCATAAATTGGGGTAAAAATAATTATTCCAACATTATGACCAACAGTGTATACATTTTCTCATAATCAACTCCCATTCTTATTTCACAACGATTACAGTTTACACTCAAACATTCACACATATGCCACCCGTCGTTCAATTGATGTGTTATCATTATATAAATATACTAATTAACCAGTGTATTGTTTCTTGTATTTATACTTTTTGTTAATGTGAAGTTTGCATGCACGCGTTTTTGTAAAACTCCACTGCAACTTTGTAAACTTAGCATTGTGTGATCACATTTAAAAATAGGTCTTTTTGAAGAAAGATTATTTACTCACATTTGATTGTTGATGCATCAGTTATTTTAATTAATAGATAGATGTATTGTATAATACAAATCGAATTATTGTGACTTGTTTTGATTAGTATAGGTAATATATATGTATGAGTTATAATTTTGTGTAATATGTTTTATAATTATAAAACTGTTTCAAAATTGATAAGTGGTACTCGAAAATGTTTCTTTGTGATATAATGATTATTCTTGATGATTAATTTATTGAACGAGGGTTAACCTAGACTAGCGTTTGCTATTTGTTGTCTCCTTTTGGCACTAATGTATAGTTATATTCATGTCGAAGTACAATATACTCGAAATTTGGTAATAAATGAAATGAATGAATGAATGAATAATTCCACCTGCGTGCTTCTCTTTTGTAGGCCATGTTTTATCAAAGGGCAACGTTTTTGCGGGGAATCTCCGGTACGTCACTGTGCAATGCGCTTGCCATGTATTCTGCGTGGGTTAAAATACTTCAGTTAGTTTGCCATTGCATCGACCACTCTGAGTTGACTTCGATACCATCTTCTTTTGCCATAGAAAAGTTACACAAGAGATCATTCTTAAATGTGTCATAGCTTTCAACGCGTATTTCATCGATAAGCCTCACATTCAATTGAGATCTAAAGATGGGGACAAATTGTAAAATCATTTTGACTGTCGTTGCTTCACTAACCTTTACACTATGCTGTAAGTATTTGCAAATGACGAATCTACATGTACACTGTCGACCATGATGCTTGTATGATTTCTCCTAAGCTTTTTTCATGAAATGATTATCACAATATTGTTTATTCTTGATAGGTAGAGTTACCATCTTTTCAAAACTTTAGTGATCAATCTTTATGATTTTTAGATTAAATATAGATTTTCAAATTGTATATTGCGCATTAAGTAGCCTGTTATTTCATTTCATGCCATTTATTGACCATTTAAAAAAAAAAAAAAAAAAAAACATCAATACAATGGAAGAATAATAAAGATTAAGAATATATTTAAAAAACGTAATAATGGCCAGGGCCCCTGAGAAGCAAGACTGCTCGTAATCGGGATCCTTACCATAATACTGATGATTTTTGATAGAGTATTAATTTGATTTAAAAGAAAAATCGATTATATATTTCCTTTTTATTTAGTTGGATTTCACATATATTTTACCTGGAATAACAGCGGAAATAACAACCCAGGTGAGTATTAATTTATATGATAATCGTTATGTCCATTCCACGAAAGACCTGCTTCACGAAAATGTATGGTTATCCGCAGAACCCCTAGTTGTAGAGGGTAGTGGGTTAGTTAATAGTAAGAGAAAGGATTATACCTATTTTTTTAATTACAACTGATTTCATTCATTTTTTCAATCGTAATTTATGAACTGTACATGTATTAAGTTAATTGAACTATGACATTATGATAAAAACAAAATTGCATTTTGAAGAATGATTTGTATTGTTTTGATACTTACTGGCAGGTAATAATTTGCTGGGGCGTGTACATGTGGGCTATGCTATCAGCATGTCAATGCTCGTTTATACCAAACAACGCAAAATAATATGCTACGGCGTGTACTTGTGTGTAATGATTATGGGTGTGGGGCCGGCTACAGCCGTGAGTTTGTGAACGCTCGTTTATATGTATATACTGAGTGATCTTATTTTGTAGAATTTAGTAAAAAGGAGCTCTTAACCAGCGCAGCTGAATATATTTTGTATAAAAGCTGCGCTATATAAATCTATTATTATTATTATTATTATTATTATAAGGTATAACCAGGGACATGCTAGACATGGTATAACGAAATCATGAAAGGAACGCAGGGATGGGAAAAGGTATTTACGTATGCAACATTTTGTAATCTACAAAATGTTCTAATCAACCGAAAGTAGTTCCTCAAACTGGCAGCAGTTATAAATACTAATCATACAATAGTATAGATTCCCCGCATATGCGGCCTATATTAGGATTGCACACAGTCAATAGGTACTTTGCGCATTATGATGTCCGTGACCGGGGGGGGGGGGGGGGGTACTCACGTATATCGGGTATGGGATGTGCCGCTCGGAAGGGTGACTTTTTCAGGAAAGATCTTTAGACATGGGTCCCCTTTTCATTAAAGAAAACCTTAGACATGGGTCCCTTTTTTCATTTATTCCTTTCCCCTCTTTTCTCCCTCATTTTCTACGGGATTTTACTCGAGCCTACTTTGTAAATGCCTAAATCTCTCCCATCTCTAAATGAATCCGGGGCCTTTGGGAATCCTTCGGTGATTGCATTTCCCGTGTACGAGGTGTACGTAGCTCGTCAACTCAACTAGACCCCGGGGTACCACATATATCAGGACCCCATGGGCCCTGTACCGGGTACTCATATGGCATACTTCGCGCTAGGTATGGTCTCCGCCCGTATAGGGGTAGTCCCCCCGGGAACTTGTAGCGCTTCGATATGATCGGCAGCTATACCCTGCCCGTACCTCGATCTGCCCAGGAGCCGGGCAGAAGCGGGGCTCAAAGGCTCAAGCAGGGAGCTAAAAAGCCGATGCTTGAGAGCTCGTGTACGGGTACGGGGCGGCAGCGGCAGATCCATGTAGCCTACTGCACTGAGCTGCATGCGTCGATAATATATTTACCGTACCGGTCCGGCAGCGCCATTCGCCATTTTAGTGAACATAAAAAGTAAATCATGTCATATTGAAAAGGAGTGTATAAATAGTTTTAAACTAGGTGCAAAACAAATTATAGTGTTCTTTGAAAAATCTTTTAATTAAAACAGGAAAAGTCCTTCAATTAAAACACACATTTCCTGGCTGTGTAGTAAAAGCTGTGCTTTTGATTCTCAGCATTTTTAACACCACTGTACAAAACTCAACTGATTTCACTCAAAATCGGTACTTTAGTGACAATTGATGACACCTAAATAGCAGTAAAATACATTTTTGTCAACTTACTGATGTTAAACAAAATAATTTAAAAATTCAAATTGTAAGTCTAGTGTCAAATTTGCCGATCAGCCCAATCGGTCCTATTGTTTGCAGTCTAAGCAATATTGTGTGGTGTGTATATCTGTGTATAATACCTGCCTCACAGCAAGTATGCAGTGCTAAAGGTCATTACGCATTAGCATTGACTCTGTATGCTTTTGCTGGAGTGAATTAAAACAGATGCTAGAGGTGCTAGCACAGTATAATTATGTTGCATGGTGTTTTCAACTTTATGTTGTAGTATGGTACAGTTTACTAATAAAGAATTTTATCGAGAAACTGCAAAATGATAGGCCATTGTATTATTACAGCTAAAAAAATGTAATATTTAAAGTTTGAAATCCTTAGACATGGGTCCATTTTTCACAAAAAATCCTTAAACATGGGTACCTATTTACTGCAAAAGGACGCTTGGATGTGGGTATGGGTTCGGAGGTTTCAGCTGCACACCCCCGTCTGACTATAATCTCAGTACCTGGGGTCAGTGACACATCTTAAAGAGAAGGTTGAGTTCTGGGAAGAGGTGAAAAATAATTTGTGAACTTTATCATTTTATTATGATAGTGTGAAAGAACATCAGATAAGACATGTTCCCTGAAAAGCATGGCTCTTCAAATGCCTTCATATTCTAAATATGTCATGTAACATCGTAAAACTCGGGGGGGGGGGGGGAGGTTTTTTACGTGTTCGTGTAGTCCCATATACATCTTTCTGTGTACAGTGTTTGTAACTTTACCAAGACTTGGCCAAATTTCTTATCATTTTGATGATTCCAGAACCTCGTACTACACACAATTCTTATATGCTAGATGATCAACCTTTTTTGGTCGCTTTTACACCGTTTCTTTCACAATGCAATCGCATGACCAGAACTCAACTTCATCTTTAATTAGGTCTGAATCGAAAACAAACTTAGTAATGTAGCTATTAGTATTGTTATTATAGGTATGTTTTTCTTCAATTTCAAATTATTTTATTTATCATGCAAAGCATATTAAAATGAATAATTATATTACAAACAAATATGCAATGTAAACGACAAATGTAATAGAAAAAGCCCGAGAAAACAGGAACTAACTAGAATCAGAGGTTGTTGAATTGTTAGTTCCTCAGTTACTGTTTTACAATATAAACAGAGTATGCGGCTAGAAATCAATAGATAGAAACATATGTAGCTGATAAATTATCCTTTTTTGGGGGTGGGGTGGGGGTAAAGAGAGGAAAAAATGGAGGTAAATAGTAAAAGGCAAAACGAAAGAAAGATACAAAAAAGGGAAAAAGAATTATTTAAAATGATTACTGTCACTATTATCTGTGCATACAAAGTTCTTTAATAAGCCCATAGTACTTTTTTCATGAAATGTTTTAAATAAAGAATTTTTCCCTCTTGCAATAAAATTAATTTTTACAAATTATTATTATTATGTTCTAGTCCTATATCTATGAAACCAATGACAGCAAAGCACACGGATTTCTTAATCTCATGTTTTGGCTTTGTCGATTTATAAACGAATCTTGTTGCTATTACACTACATTGTATTCAATTGAATTCAATTCAATAATGGTTTATCATGTAAATTCAAAATACATGCATCGTAATTGTCATTTTACATACAATTTTGACACGTACAAAAATTGTTTAAAATACATTTCACATTACATTTCACATTAAAAATGACAAAAGGAAGTGTTATTTTTAACTTATATTTGACGTACTCAAGCTTTACTCGCGTTAATCTCGTGGGCAACTCGGCATGACTCACAGCACGATCGTCTTGCTCGAATCTCGAATAGCATTTAAGTGTACTTAAGTATAATTAAGTATAATTCAAGAAGAGTGCAGCGCGAGCATGTTACGAGTAATGCGAGTATATTACGAGTGTTAGTGACTTCGACTCGAATACAACGAATCAGCGAAAATGTTGAACATGTTCAACATTTTGGACCTGCTCGCGACTTCGAGGAGAGTCGTCGAATGTTGTAAAGGGTAAAGCAGGGCTCCCACTTAGCCGAGTTGGAGCCTCCGAGTTGTGGCGAGCTGGCGCGATCTTATGGCAAGCAGTTTTATCATTAAAAAATATTTTTGATATCAAGAATTCAATTCTTGATATCATGAAATCGAATTCTTGATATCACGAAATCGAATTCTTGATATCAAGAATTACCTTTGCTTTACAACGTAAAATTATTTCTTGATATCAAGAACTATGTTTTAATGATAAAACGGCTTGCCATAAGATCGCGCCAGCTCGCCACAACTCGAGGCTCCAACTCGGCTAAGTGGGAGCCCTGCTTACGCAAAGTCATACTGAGTTGTCGAGAGTTATCCCGAGTTACAAGAAGAGCTTCTCGCTAGTTATTGCGAGTTCCTCTTTGAAGCAACTCGTCAAAACTCTCCATAACTCGCCAATACAACTCGGATACGTGGGATCCCTGCTTTAGGCTCTCCGTCACTTGACAAATTACATTTAGTTCAGTTTTGTCCTTATCATATGTCGCTTCGCGGCCGAGGTTATTTTGTAATATTTCATTGTTTGAATATTTATATGACATGTCATGGAATGTATCGTAAATGATTCATAAAGGAACCCCTGGAAGAGTAAACAGAAATATATATTATCATCTTCTTCTTCACCTTCCTCTTTCTTCTTCTCCTTGTTTTTTTCTCTGCATCCTCTCTGTCTCACCTTCTCTCCCTCTCTCTCTCTCTCTCTTTATTACAGTCCTGCCACGTCTTTTGACACCACCTCAAATAAAAGACATCACGACATCAACGATTGAGATAGAATGGAAGGGAGATCACGACGGCGACGGGCCCGTTTGCGGTTTCATCGTCGAGCTAAAACCATCGGCTTCAACTTCGTGGAAGAATGTCGGATTCGTCTCCTTCGACGAAGACCAGGATGATTTCGAATACACGATCGAGAGACTCGATGCTGACGCCCTCTACGGGATTAGTGTTAGAATTCTGCACTGTTCCGGAAGAGGAAAAAGGGGTCCGGAGATCAGTCAGTCAACAGAGGACTATGGTCAGTTTCGGGTTTAATTTCACCAAATGTTCTTTGTGTCTATTTTCAATTTGTTGCTCTGTTTTTATGTTTTAGAATTAGGGCAAGAAATATATTTTTCAAGTTTAATATCTGATAAGTCGCGGTTATTTTATATGTTTTTGTTGTGTAAATATTTATATTAAAGTCATTAAATAGTGCATATATCATTCTTTTGTGAAAATTATTGTGTTTATGATATATAATATGGAACCCTGTGCAAGGACAAATAAAAAATAAAAACTATTGACACTTTTTCTTCGGCTTTCTCTTTTTTTTTTTTCTCTCTCTCTCTCTCTCTTTTCTCTCTTTCTTCCTTCCTTTATAACAGCCCTACCGCGTCTCGCTAAACAACCCCAAGTGAAGAACGTCACTACATCAACGATTGAGATAGAATGGGAGGGAGCTTACGATGGTGACGGGCCCGTTTGCGGTTTCATCGTCGAGCTTAAACCTCCGGATTCAACTTCGTGGAAGAGTGTCGGATACGTCTCTTTCGAAGAGGATGAGGGCGATTTCGAATACACAATTGACAGACTCGATGCTGGCGCCCTCTACGAGATTAGCGTTATTATTCTGCACTGTTCCGGAAGAGAAGGAGAAAGGAGTCCTGAGATCAGCCAGTCAACAAAAGACTATGGTGAGGTTTGGGTTTCATTTTACCAAATGCTTTTAAGTGTCTATTTTCAGTTTGCTGCTTTGTTTTTATGTTATAAAATTAGTATATAGATGATATTTTTCAAGTTTAATATCTTATATGTCGCTTCGCGGCCTTGTTTATTTTATAATATAGTTTTCTCTAAATATTTATATGACAACTCATTGAATAGTGCATGTGTCGATTTTTTTTGTAAAAATGATTGCTTTAAATATAAATTAAAAAAATCAATGAAAGGGTATATAGAAAAATTAAATTATTGTTATCTTCTTTTTTTTTCACTGTCTCCACTCTGTCTCCCCTCTCTTTCATCTTTCTCTCTCTCTCTCTCTCTTTCTCTGCCTCTCGTCATCCCTTTATAACAGCCCTGCCACGTCTCTCGACACAACCTCAAGTGAAGAACGTCACTACATCAACGATAGAGATAGAATGGGAGGGAGCTTACGACGGCGACGGGCCCGTATGCGGTTTCATCGTCGAGCTTAAACCTCCGTCTTTTACGTCGTGGACGAGTGTCGGATTTGTCTCCTTTGGTGAGGACAAGGATGATTTCGAATACACAATTGACAGACTCGATGCTGGCGCCCTCTACAGGATTAGCGTTATTATTCTGCACTGCTCCGACAGAGAAGGAGAAAGGAGTCCTCAGATCAGCCAGTCAACAAAGGACTATGGTGAGGTTTGGGTTTCATTTTACAAAATGTTTCTAAGTGTTTATTTTCAGTTTGCTACTTTGTTTTTATGTTATAGAATTAGTGTAAAAATTATATTTTGTCAAGTTTAATATCTTAAATGTCGCCTCAGGTCCTAGGTTATTTCGTAATATTTTATTGTTTAAATATCTATATGACAAGTCATTGATTCGTGCATGTGTCGATCTTTTGTAAACATAATTATGTTGATGATTAATAAAGGAAACATGTGGAAGAATAAATAGAAGAAACACAAATTGGTCTCCTCTTTTTTTACGTCTTCTTCTTTCTTCTCCTTCTATTTTTGTCTCCCCTCTCTCTCCTTCTCTCTCTCCCTTGCTTTATAACAGCCCTGCCACGTCTCTCGACAAAACCACAAGTACAGAACGTCACTACATCGACGATTGGGATAGAATGGAAGAAAGACTACGATGGTGACGGGCCCGTTTGCGGTTTCATCGTCGAGCTTAAGGCTCCGGATTCAACTTCGTGGACGAGTGTCGGATTCGTCTCCTTCGACGATGACCAGGACGATTTCGAATACACGATTGACAGACTCGATGCTGGCGCCCTCTACGGGATTAGTGTTATAATTCTACACTGCTCCAACAGAGAAGGTGAAACGGGTCCGGAGATCAGCCGGTCAACAGAGGACTATTGTGAGTTTGGGGGTTCATTTCACCAAATGTTTCTTAGTGGCTATTTTCAATTTGTTGCTCTGTTTTTATGTTTTAGAATTAGGGCACGAATTATATTTTGGCAAGCTCAATATCTGATAAGTCGCGGTTATTTTATATGTTTTTGTTGTTTCAATATTTATATTACAAGTCATTAAATAGTGCATATATCATTCTGTTGTGAAAATGATTGTGTTTATGATACATAATATGGAACCCTGTGCAAGGACAAATATTAAAAAAAACTATTTACTCTTTTTCTTCGGCTTCTTTTTTTTTTCTTCTCTCTCTCCCTCTCTCTCTCTCTCCTTCTCGCTCTCTCTCTCTCTCTCTCTTCTCTCTTTCTTCCTTCCTTTATAACAGCCCTGCCACGTCTCTTGACTCAACCTCAAGTAAAGAACGTCACTACATCAACGATTGGGATAGAATGGAAGGGAGCTTACGATGGTGACGGGCCCGTATGCGGTTTCATCGTCGAGCTTAAACCTCCGGATTCAACTTTGTGGATGAGTGTTGCATTCGTCTCTTTCGAAGAGAAGGAGGCCGATTTCGAATACATAATTGACAGACTCAATGCCGGCGCCCTCTACGGGATTAGCATTATCATTCTGCACTGCTCCGGCAGAGAAGGAGAAAGGGGTCCTGACATCAGTCAGTCAACAGAGGACTATGGTGAGTTTAGGGTTTCATTTTACCAAATGTTTCTTAGTGGCTATGTACACAGGAATTATGTTGCTATTCATTAACCCGAAAAAAGTAGTGCGAAGGTAATTTTTGGGGTCGATTCACCGTGTCATATCTAACCGGGCCTTTATAGTACATAACCACGCGTTAGGGAATGATGCAATCTGTGAACAGAGCGTATCTAATAATATAAACGCGTAAATAAACAAATAAAATGGGGTACAAGGTAAAAATGCCAGTGGCAACAGTGCCAGAGAAAAATACAAAAGTAAGAGGACCGCACTCATTCGCCAAGCGTTGGGGCTTACAATAGGCTGCAATATACACGTAAGTGATTTTTTTTTTAAAGTGATCAGACAGGTGGTTAAATGGAAAACAATGCTTCGTTTTCTTCAACACTTAAAACTTCCCAATTTATTTTTTATCATGTTTCGTTTTGATAGGAATCTTTTAAGTCCTGGTGTGTGTTTCTAGGCCCAATAAGTTGTCAACTATTTTATCCCGTGTAATCCTTTGATAACTAGCCTAGTGAGATTTTATGAATATGGGCCCTTGGCCTTCTATGTACGAAGGTTTAGGATTAGTTGCAAATTTGAAATAACAATTATGATTGGTTTAAAGTCAGTCTTGTAAACAATATGTGCATGCAACGATAATCTTGATTGGCCATTTCAATTTTGTCTTTCTTTTTACCGAAATATATCCACAGAACCACAAACAGAGCCACCATCTGTATCGACATCAACAGCGCCACCATGCCCGGCGCAGAACTGCACAGAATGTCCACCGAACCAACCTGAAGACGACCATTGCTGGAGAATTATGTTTCTAATTATTGTATCCGTACTCTCATCCATCGTGTTTGTGCTCCTGGTTTTTCTTATTTGGTAGGATTATGATCTATTTGTAAAACCGCGACATGCAGTCAGAGAAAGAAAACAAAATTACATCTGTCCGTACAGTTATTGTAAGATTGAATTTTGGATGAGAAAGGACTTGACATAATACCGGTAGGATCACTCATCTCGCTTCTTTAGGTACCATTTTAGGGAAACTGTCACGCTTGACTGCCCAGAGGTTCATTTAGATGACGTCAACTACAAGTTGATAAAATAGGTTTCACATTCTTAGATAAGTTGGCGTATGAGTAATTAACTCTGCAGTGTGGCGCAATCGGATCACCGTCTGGCTCTCATGAATTTCGTGTAGACTGAGCAGGACAAAGATGCAAAAAATGATTGTCGCCGCGCTGTGTGTAAGCGTGCTCCTCATCCTCTCTTCTCGATGCAGGCTCGGGCTTAGGGGAAAACACTTAGATCCTCAAATTATAAAACGATAACTGGAGGCACCTTACGTTGGAAGGTTACAGCCTAGACACCTTGCGCAAAGTACCGGTGTTTAATGTGCATGCATGTATAGGCCTACACAACTGGTAATCGTTATATAGATCTCCGTGTTAGGATACACATAGTCCTTTGATGATTTACAGAAGAGGAAGAAGAGGAAGCAGGAGAAGAACTATGAACAGTTGCCTGTACTTAAATAACCGAAAAAGAAGCAGGAGTGACCTTTACTCTTATTATTGTTTTAATACTCTTATAATCATGTTATTTGCAGTCATCCTCTACATCACGCTATACTATTTTGAACCTTCATACATTTAATAGTAGACTCATTTGTGTGTATTATATAATCACAAATAACTTACACTTGCATAAAGAATGCTTAATTGTAGTATTATGATTCTATTTAGTGTAGTTATTATCATGTATATATACTTTTGTAAAAACTGCTTTTTAATTAGTCAATCAATTTAATTCTCTTGTTTTGTGTTTGTGTATTCCTACTAAATCTGCAGGTGCTGCGTTAAACGTCGTCGCGGTGAACCTGATGAACAAGCTTTGTTGGTATGAACAAATAAACTCGACGTTGAACGAATATGACGTTAGGCGCCATCTTCAAAATAATCTAGGTGCCTTCTTCAAATTGACTCAACTTAGTTGAATATAAAGAAGAGAAAACAGAAAAAGCACTGCACAATGGCACTTCACAATGATGGACTAATCTTGAGCTCTGGTATGGGAATCGTACGTCGTGAGAAAATGTTTATGAATAAATTTGGATTCCTTATCCTACAGTATATTGATTGTTTGAACCTGTAAAATAAAATAAAAAGTCACACAAACTTGCTGGAAATCATCTTCAATAAAAAAATATCTCATTTGCACTTAGTGACCTGAGTTAAGCACATGGTGTCGGGCATACTTACCTTGATTTCCTTATTTTTCTATGCGTATTTAATACTCGGTGCCTATACATTTTCTACCACAATCGTTTGGAACATGTCTTTAATATTTAATTTTGAACATTTAGTGTTAGTTTTGTTGGATTATCTGAGAATTTATTTTCTGTCATTACCAGAACTCAAGGTTATGTTTAACCTATTATTTGATGTTTGGAGGTAATTTAATCCCTATGAAAAAATCAATTTACAATTGGACACAAGTTTCTCTAAAAAATTACTCTAGACTAGACTACTGTTTAGTTCCAACTGATCATGTATCCAAATCCACTGATATACGGCCCGCATTATTAAAGGTGCGATCACAATGCTGTTTCCTTGGTGATAACAGTGAAGGAAGGAAAACGCGTTAAAGGTAAATGGAAATTTGATAGTTATCTGTTAAATGGTGGTACGTATAACGACAATGCTACAGATATTATCCAACAATTAAAGATGGAATATTGGGGTTAAGATTCGCAAATACAGTGGGAATTGTGTAAAATATGCTATTGATTGTAACAGAAAGAATAAATGTTATATAGAATTTCTGGAAAATGAATATAAATAAGTATGGCAAGATGATAAATACAAGGCATCTTTTGAAAGTGATGTTCGAAAGAAAAAAAATTACAATTGTTGGCATGCCATAACAAGCCATGAATATAAAAGTCGCCAGGTAGAGACCGTCTTGCTGTAAAATTATACATATATATATATATATATTTTTTTTTTTTTTTGGGGGGGGGGAGCAATTTTAAGAGCTTGTTGTTTGAAGTTTGTATGAGGGTTTTCATAATCAAGAGTTGTCGTTGTCACAAAAACAAGCAATCCTTACTTTGTTGTCCAAAAAGAGCGCAGGACTCTTTTAAGTATATGGCGACCTATAGGCCTATTCTTTACTTAATATACATTACAAAAAACAGCTCATTCTTTGTCCCAACAATTAAATGGAGTAATTGATTATCTTGCTTCATTTGATCGATCTGGGTTCATGAAGAAGGGTAGATTATGGTAACAGAAAATGTAAGATTTGTCCCAGATATTATAGACTATTGCGAGTTTGAGCGTGTTCCAGGTATTCTTATGTTCGTTGATTTCAAGCAAGCATTTGATAACGTGAATCATGCCTATAAGTCTAAACACTATTAATTGAAATATTTGGATTTAAAAACAATTTTATCTAATGAATTCGAACATGTTAAAAAAATGCAAGTGGAAAGGTTGTAAATCATGGTCGGATTTAAAATCATGTTTTATACGGAAGGGAGTGAGGCAAGTGTGTCCTCTCTCTGCTTTGTTATTTATAATAACGTTAGAAGTATTAACTGCAAGGATACAACAAAACGAAAATATATGGAGTATACATATTCCAAGTCAAGGGAATGTGCACGGTAAGAAAATAAATTAAAATTATACAGTAAAGTGATTCTTCACGGTCAGCACATTTTTTTTTTAGGAGGGAACTTTCTTGTTTTAGTATTTGTTCTGGTATTTCTTTTAACTATGAACATCAGGAATGATATATTTAGTTCAGGACTTTTAAAGAATGATTGGAATGGGATACATCTTTGGGGTGAGGCAGTAACATTTTTTGCGAATATATGTAGGTAAGAAATAAAGAAAGGGTTAATTCTATAAATTCGGATGGGTAATTAAAAAAAAACTAAAAAAGATATGTAGAGAATGCGTAATTTAAAAATTTTACGGTCAACTTGTGATATTAAAGCTTTTAGTTTTGTCGCAAATTACTTATGTGGCGACGACTATTCCAATATATAACACATGTTTTTGTTTTTAAAAATATTAAGATAACGTTTTAATTTGTATAGGGGTCTTAAAGAAAGGTAAAATATATAGAAATGTATGTTTGAACAAAATTACTAGAGGGGGTTTACGTATGGTTGACTTACAGGTAAAAGTCGGTTTTTTGTGACTTTCTTGGATAAGGAGATATTTGTTGACAATGAGAAAACTAAATGGAAAATATAGGTTTTCGTTTGGTTAATTAGGGTAAATGGAATTCCATTGGTGTTTCAGCTTAACTGTTATAATAGAGGCATGGAGAAAATTATTTTGAATGTCTAGGGTACCTCATTTCTACTTTGATTTACTTTTTACTTGGCCAGAATTGAGATATGTAAATAGTTACCGTTATTGGGTAAAAAAAATACACGGGGGCGACGGGCGATTTCGCCCTCGGTGGAGCTCAAATCGCCCCCTAAAATCCTTAAAAACCAGATCTTAGGGTCGACCATTTTCTTTGGAGTCACCCCCTTGCCTTAGCTCCAAAATAAATAAAATAATTTGTGAACCGCGATCGAGGAGCAGCAGCAGCAGAATTAACATTTCTTATGCCTAGATTACATTTGCCCCGGGCGCCGTACGAAAAATTAGTTTACGATTTTTCGTAGACATCGTAGGAGGCCACGGGCTACGATGTTTGTGTTTACATTATCTACGAGCATCGTGCCATTTATTGTATTGGCCCTCGTGGGCAGGCCGGGGAGAATCCGTACAGAGGCTGCTCGGAGATTGTACGGAAATCGTGCGGATCCGGGTGCAGCTTCCGTGCAAAGGTTGCGCGATAGCTGTGCAATGGCCGTGCGAATGCCCCCACGAGTCTACAATCTCTGTACGATTTTTTTTGCCCCCATGTTCACCGAAAAATCGTATGTTTACTGCACAATCAGTGTGAGGCCTCAGG